TTTTTCACCGTGGGTCTAGTCCTCGGCCTCTACACACACAAAAAAAAGAAAAAAACAAAAAGAAAAAGATGCGCTACGGCCAACGGGGGGGGAACCAGCCCGGTCGACCGGCCGGTAGGACCGGTCCGGTTCCGGTTGGGGGAGGGCCCCCCGGTCCTACTGGCTTTCCAGCACTGATTACCAGACTAAATTAAATGAATGGAGAATCGGAGATGATGGCGGGGAGTCGAAGTCGGGGCACAACGACAATGTCAAAGAAATGAAGAATAGTGAAAGAAGGGATGATGACTTCATGGGAAACTGAGGGCGTCGTTAGCCACTCCTCAGCACGTCCTCGGGCGCCGAGGACGAATCCTCGAAAATTTCTTTGGTTTTTGAAGGCATCGTTCCACCTGTCCTCGGAGAATCGCTCCGAGGACAAATCCTTGGGGCCCTCTCGCGGCCCGTTTCATGAGATTATACACAACCGCGAGGGGGTTGTCCGACTTCTGATTCGGGATGTCCGGCAAGGAGTCGTCGTGGTCCAGCAGGCGTACGGCGGCATCGCATCACGGGTCCTGGAAATGAAAGTCGTGAACGCGGGAAACGCCCCATTTCAAATTCGAAATTTGAAATCGCGGGCCGCGGAACGATGGGGAGGCGGCGCACAGGCGGGTCCTGGACAGTGCAGTGCGCGCCGCGCAGGCTCTGCAACTGGTTCTGGATGCCATCGCCTTGCGTACTTCAGTGGCGACACATGACCACGGTGTGTGGTGTCGTCGACGCGGCAAACTGGAGAGGGCCAATCCTCGGTGCACGTGTCCACGCATGGCGGTTCTGCACTTCGGCGGCAGCGGACGGACGGACGATTCCATCAGGGAGGACATCGCTCAGCGGGGTGGCGGAGTGCGAATTGCAGGTGTGTCATCGTTGTGGTCGCGTAGGTGGTGGCGACAGGTGGCGGGCATTCGTTTTCTAGTACGAAGGGCGCAATGGAGGGTGACGGCGAGGGTCATCGTGCCATGTTGTCGACGACGGAGAAGACAGCGGTCGCAGCGGCTGCGCTCGCCGTGGTGATACGCAGCCAAGTCAAGAGGGCAGCAGGGCGCATGAAGCTGACGCTTTCGAGGCGGCGGCGGAGGCTTCTGGTGAAGAGGGTGGTGGACGCCCCGGACTGCATTAGCACCTCGGAGGCCATGGTTCAGCTGTGCGCGGCAATCGGGTGTGGTGTGCTTCCTCGAGCGACGCCACGTTGGTGGATGAAGCGGAGAACAGGAGGCACTTGGGAGGATCTGCGGGTGTGCGATGACGCGAATGACGACTACTTTCGGGAAAAGCTCCACATGTCCAGGCGAGTTTTCATGGAGATCAGCGAAGCCTGTGCTCCACATCTACAATGACAGGTCACATTCTACAGGGAGCCGCTGCAGCCAGAACAGATCGTTGAGTACGCGTTGTACAGGTGGGCTACGGGGGAGACATACGACAACAGCCTGTCGTCTTTCGGCATACGAGCTTCTGCACTTCTTCCCGTGCGCGATGTCACATCTGCGTTGTTGAGGGTCTACGCAGACAAGATTTCTTGGCCTACAGGGGTGTGGAAACACGTCGTGCTCCGGGCGTTTTTGGAGAAGGGTTTTTCCAACTATCACGGCGTTGTCGACTGCACACACATCTACGTCGACAAACCGGGGAACCCCCCCAGCGAGAACTACTTCGACCACAAACACCATTTCTCCGTCGTTACGCAGATCGTGGTCGGCCTGGATCAGCGCGTTCTGGACGTGTTCGTTGGGTATCCCAGGAGCTGCCATGAAATAAGGGTGATCCAGTTGTTTAGTCTGTCGCGGCGAGCGGAAGAGGGAACGTTATTTCCTGGGCCGCCTGTCATGCTGCTGGGCGGGGTGAGGACAAACGGATACATCTCGGGCGACAACGGGTACCCTCCTTCGGAATGGGTAGTGGTGTCGTACGGCGGAATCAATCAGCCTCCCGACGAGGACAGGTTCAACAAGAAGCAGAAGGTCACAAGAGGGGCTGTGGAGAGGGCGTTCCGACGGTTGAAGGGGATGTGGAGGCTCTTCCTACGGACGCACAAGACCAACCTAGACACTCTGCTGCAGCAGTTCACGGCCGTCTGCATACTACACAACATTCTCCTGGATGTTGGTATTGAGTTCGACGAGAATCTGTTACGGGAGGTCGACACGAACGGGGTGCGGCGCCGAGTGGATCTGGGGATTCATCTTCCCCCGCAGCCAGTCAGCAATTCCACTTCCACGATCAAGGTGATCGCGCTCTGGAACGCTCTAGCAGAGAGAATGAAGCATGTAATCCGCGATACGACCTGGCCATTTCTCGCGATGAAAGTACCATGTTCATGTCCTGTCCCGCCGTCATCGATCCAGAGTGCTCGCTTTGTTGGCTTTCACACACGCGCGGATGGTATTATGTCGTCTATCGCCATGTGTTGGACGTTGCTTCCATCGAGGACGACTTGTTTGGCCGTCCTCGTAATTGTGGACGACGGCAACGAGGGTGTTTCATTCGTCGATCATCGGGGTGGATGCTTGTAGTGACGAGGATTGTTGTTGTTCCTCGCGTTGTAGTCGCGTCTTTTCTTTACTTTGTTCACCATACCTCTTTTTTCGCCGCGTTTCTGGCGATTACGGGGCTTGGGGTGGGGGAGTGGAGGCGGTGTGGTGGCGGGTGGCAGTGGTTAGGGCGGTGCACAAGTCTGCCATGTCAGGTAGGGGAGGTAGGCAGGTTTCAGCCCGGTGTGGTGTTTATGTTCACGTGCTTAAAAAATTTTGGTTGCTCTGCACGAGCGCTTCTCAAAGCGTTGAATCGATTTCTCAAGCACAAGAATGTGTTTTTCTTTTGGACTTGTGTGTGAGGTCGTCTTCTTGCGTTTGGTTGTGTCCTTCTCAACAACGGGTTTGCTTTATTGCCTCGTGTATGAGACTTTTGTCATGTATCTCGTCTGCGTTTGTTTGCATTTCCAAATGTAGATCGTCGTTGCATTGTTGTTCCACACGCGACTTGCATGGCAAAAAAAAAGAAACAAGTTCATCTCGTGACATTTAAGTCCTTTCAGCAACAACATTGCCATCACACTTTTTGTTATGTTTTTTTTTTTTTTTTTTTTTTNGGTTGTGTCCTTCTCAACAACGGGTTTGCTTTATTGCCTCGTGTATGAGACTTTTGTCATGTATCTCGTCTGCGTTTGTTTGCATTTCCAAATGTCGATCGTCGTTGAATTGTTGTTCCACATGCGACTTGCATGCCAAAAAAAAAAAAAACAAGTCATCTCGTGACCATTTCGGCCCTTCCAGCAACAGATTGCCATTTCACTTTTTTTTTTTCTGTGGATTTTTTATTTTCATTTATTCTTTTGGGGGTTATTTTGTCAGGTGGAGGTGATGTTAACGCATCCGTGATTTGAGACACTGCGTGACGGGCACCATATGTGATAATAGGTGCACGACATTGAGATGGCCATTCACCCGTAGTCGACACGAGAATCGCACACAGAAGATTAAAAAAAACACTGGTATGTGAGCAACCATTGACACACAAATCGAAGTCCTCAACACACACATTCCTTAATAAAATCCATAGATTCGCATTGCATACTTGAAGAGGTAAACCCGAGTTTTCATGCTACCCAGCCTTCCGCGGCGCACAGCTATGCCGCAGTCTCTCTCTCTCTCTCTCTCTCTCTCTCTCTCTCTCTCTCTCTCTCTCTCTCTCTCTCTCTCTCTCTCTCTCTCTCTCTGCACGTGTTCGAACTTGACAACAAATATAAAAAAGTGAACTAAACAAGACTACTGCGTTGCGCAGTGTCTACGTGGTGACTCCATTCGTGAGGTCGCTATCAGCCGAAGCATCTACCGTACCGCGTGCACGACTTGCCCCACCTAACCGCCAACGTCGCCATACGCCCTGCGCACATGTCAGTGAGTGAGCGTTGAGAGAACCATCTAAGCGGCGCATTTTACATGCCGCGCAGGTGGATAGTGACACCGTCACAAATTAAAATGCAACACGCACCCGTCCGCCGACTGCCCCGCCACCTCTAGCGTACCCCCCCACCACCACCACCTCATTTGGAGATCGAAGAACCTCCCCATGCAGGACGACCACCCCGCCCGATTGACCTTGAAGTTCCAGATGAACTCACGTGTCACTTGCTGTCACCACCATCTTCATCCGCTGGAAGATTGCCATCAGAGTAGGATCATCATGACATCTTTCGATGTCTCACTTAAAAGCATTTGTTGGAGCAAGAAAAGTGAGAAAAAGTAAACAAAAAGAATAATAAGTCGTCGAAAATACAGAAAGACTTCCAAGCCAAAAAACCAAATTACCACTTATGGTATATTTAGTATAAGCAAGTTCAAAGATCACATCCTTCGAATAAAATCAGTTAAAAAAGGAAATCCAATTAAAAACATGCTGCCTATTAGCATCATAGCATAAGTAAAAGGTAACAAAGAAACTAAAAAACAAACCATCTCATTTAGAAGTTAATTATCAAACATTGTGGCTGTTTTGTTATATGAACCTCAACAAATTCAATTTCCATACCATATAGATTTAGATGTTTTGAATTAAAGGCAACCAACCGTCAGGTCAGGCGGCCAATAAGACACTAACCCCACCCCCGCATCCGGGGGGACGCGTGGATGAGCGTGCCAATCCAGTCGTGTTTTGCAGCTTCAGCTGTATTCTTCAGGGCGGTGTTGTGATCGCAACCCGCAATGAACCCATTCCGGGATGCAATGCGGGTACTCTTCCAGCGTGAGGTGGGGCTTCCCGAGGCGATCCAACACGAGGTTGGTGCTGTCAACGATGTGTCGCCTCCAGTTAAAGATGTACGACCGTGCCACAATGAGAGTGGGTTTCGCGGTCAGTGATCCATACAATCCCGCCTCATAGTGCGAACGATCGTCATCGCCACCCATGCGCATGATCCACATGCACATGCTAAACAAAACCCTCAGACAATCTGCAAGCCGCGTTAACCTCTTGTTTCAATCTGCTGCCGTCCGGCCATTGTCCGCACCAAAGCGCATTTGTCCAGCACTCCATCACACGAAGAACTGTCGCCTCGTGTTGCGCCGCCATGTCATCATCTTCAGGTTTGTCCACAATTTTCACCCGAACGAACCACAGAGGCACGTCCATCTTCATCTGCAACGTGTAGTAAACAAGGGATGGGGAAACCACTCTCGACCATTCCAACCCCTGCCAAACAGCTCGTGCGACGTCGGTAGTGTAGTCGGCAGTGATGTACGACTCTGCACGAGCGAAGCCATTCGACCTCGACGACGATTTGAAGATCCACCCATGGATGGTGCGCATTACCAGTTTCTCCACGATGTGCGATCTGCGCAAAGCCGGTTCACGCTGAGCCGGATCGTCGATCTGAAGCGTGGCACATCGTTCGGCGGCATGATGAGCATGGGCGGTGGTTCGGCTCCTGCGTCTCCGTTGACGATGGCGACGAAGTAGTCGGCGCAACCGCCGATCGCCTCCCTCAACGGTTTTCCAGGGCCTTAACCCCAAAAAGCGTCGCGATCAACCCACAACTTCTACCTCCCTCCAGATCAACCTCCTCTGCAGTTCTCATTTGCATGCTGGCAAGGGGTCGGTCGTCGTCATCATCGCCTTCCTGTCGTCCATCTCTTTTACCATCTTCTCCGCGCACGTCTTCGACCCTCCCCTCTACCACACCTTCCGCGACTCCGCTTGCAGAAGTGTGATGACCTCCCGCCGCCGTCCAACTGCCGCCTGCGTCCACTTTCTTTTATGGGGGTAGTGTTATCGCTGCGCTTGAACCCCCCACCTGTTGCGCGGGGAGTGCCCGACATGGCTTGACTGCCCCGGTCACTGCCTTGTCAAGTCAGCCGCCCCAGCGACCGGGACGATCGGTGTGTGAACTCCGCCTACCATTGCCTCACCCACCCCCGCAACCTGCCTCTGCACGCTCGCCTCGATGATGACAATCCCTTGCGCCTTGTGTGTCCTAGGCGAGGCTCCGGCGGCACCACCAACGACGGCTTGTCTGATAGCAGCCAGTTGATTCCTCGACACCCGTCCCGCCCAAAACCCAATCGCTGGCTCCCCGGCGTCCCTTGCGCGTCCACTACCACAACTTCCTCTGATTCGAAGTCATCATCGTTCTCCGAGCTCGCCTCATCAACGCGCAGCCTTTTCGACTTGAACATGTGGCCTCGACCTTTCTGGCCTCCGCCCCCCTTGCCAGGACCACTCTCTCCTGCCCTTTCCTGTCGCGCCTTGCGGTGCCATGTGGATACAGCTTCAGTCCCCCTGCCACGTGACGTGCTGCGAAAGGAAGGACGTGGACGAAGGCATGCTGCGGTGTGACGCGGACGTGCACGAAGGGCACGTGAACGTTGATGTTCAACGGCCAGCGGAAAGGAAGGACGTGGACGGCGCGTATGACGGGGCACTGGCCAAAGAGGAGGTTCGAGGACGATGACCAGAAAGGTCCACCACAAAGTGCGAGCAGATGACGTGGAGGCGCGGAGCGTCGAACGGGATGCGGAGGCGTACGACGAGAGGGCAGTGCACGAGAGGCACCGCTGGAGTCGTAGCAATGGAAGGACTGCGGTCCGGAATGGCGCCTAGACTGTCCTTTTGTACCGTGCGCAGTCTCTCACCACACCATAAATGTGCCTCGCCGTACCTGAAGGCTGCCCCTTCGTTGACCGTGTGCAGACCATTTTTCTCTGCCCAATGGAGGTCATGCTTCCATTGGTCCGACGACGCATCGACGTTGAATGTCGGCGAGCAGGATGGCCCCGCCGGAGCTCGAAAGGGCCTCCCACCCACCCCTGCACCGCCACCCCCCAGAACACCCAGCACCCACATCACCCCCCCACCCCCCATGGGCTTCAGGAGCGGCAAGGCGCATCCATGGGCTTCAGGTAGGGTGAGGAGCTTCCTTCCCCCCCCAACCCCACCCCACCTCATAAGGCTTCATGCATCGCCAAAGGACAGAAGAAACGGAGCAACTTCCAACAGCCCACGCTTCAACGATCCAGGATCGCAACAAAACAAAACAAGGACAAAAGATTCGCAAAAAAATAAAATAAAAAGAAAGGCAAAAAAGAAAAACAAAAAATACTACTACAGAAAGACAACAACACAAAATCCGTTTGTGGTCCATTCACGCAGCACATCTTGAGACGGTCGGCAATCTCCTCCAAAACGAAGATCGAATTCAACGCAAAACAAAAACAAACCAACAATAAGCATTTCACATCATGCAACGTGTTCATCGGTCCAGGATCACAACAATACACGACGAAGACAATCCACATTGACAGCCCTAAAATAAGGTCGACATCATCGCAGCTCTTCTAAGAGCACGTTGGACAATCGCAACAGTAATCGGCCACTCCTCATGAATTTGGAAAACCTGCCTGCACCAACGACGGAAACGACACCGAAGGCCGCTCTGTGGGCACGTGAGCAATTAATACTTACAACATTAATCAAACAATACGTATATCAAACAATGCGACGAGCAAGAGCGGCCCCTCCTGTGTCTACACTACCTCCACAGCAGCACACTCCAGCACGCAGGACAACGACAACGACGCTGCTCTCGAAACGCACACGTGGCGATCGCGTCGACCTCGGAGATGCGTGAGACGTCAAGATCGCTCGCAGATCACTTTCGCGATCTCCAAAAGGGCGTTGCACATCATCAGGTTCGCCTGGTCGGACTTCTCGTAGTGCTCCTTCTGCACCTCCACCTCTCACTCGAGAATGTCGCATTGCCTCGTTAGAACTGAACACTGCCTCTTGCTCGCGCTGTCCACCGTCACCATCAACTTACCGTGCTTATCCATGATGTCGGAGATCGCATCGAAGGTCTGTTGTCTGACATTCTTCCTTTTGCCGCCCCCGCCAGCACTACCACCGCTGAACGTCGAATCTCTCGTCGATCCCTGATCATTGTCCTGTCTGCCCCCACATCCCTCGCTAGCCACGGATTCGTTCAGGCCGCCACCTGGCCCGGCCATCTGAACCCCTCCAGCCGCACCCGTGTCCGCGAGATTTGTCGGGCCAATAGTGTGATCGGCCTTCGACATCGCGTTCATCTCGGAATACACATGCTCATCCATCTGAAAGTCGGACCCTTTCTCCTTCCTCTCCGTGGGCGTTAGTGTGAAGAAATTTTGCGTCCCGGATTGTCCCATGAATTTGTGCACGGATTTGAACTGTTGGTACAGGTTGTCCCATTTTTTTCTGCATTCCTCAACCTTCCTAGTAGTCACCCCCACCTTCACGAGCCTCTTTTCAACGTCATCCCACTTCCACGTCCTCGACTTCATCCGTCCATAGTTGTGCCCCAACCCTACGGGATGCAAATCCTGGTCGCTTTTTGCCCGGACCAGAGCGATCATATGATCGACGGTCCAAAAATCCCTGCTTTTCCCTCCGTCGCCTGTGGACGTGTCATCCACAACCTTCTTGCATTTCCGCCCCGCACGCGGTTCCGTTGACTTGTTTGTGGCCCGAGTACCTCCCCGCTTCCTCCCAAGCGAACGAATCTCCATCTCGCCATCATCGTCCTCCCCGTTGTCATTGTCGTCGTCGTCTGCCGTGCAATCCTCGCCCCCCCCGCCATCGCAGTCCATGAGCATGTCTTGGCCCCGGACGTTCATCTTCGCCACCCCTCTCGTTATGTCGTACGGGCTGGACTCACGCAATTGTCACCGATGATCGTCCCAAACCTGTCGACCCGTAACCTCTGTGGCGGACCAATCATCGTCGTCCCTTTGCCCGTCGATTACATCAGTAGGTGTTGCCGATAGGCAGGCCGCCAATCCCGCTGTCGTCGTCCTCGAAGCAGCCACACCAACACTGCTCATCGCTCCCCCCTTTGGCGAAACGAGTCCGTGCTCGTCGCCCAACTCACTGTAACATTCGTCTCGCTCACCCGGAAGCCCCCCTGCCATCGCCGAAGGTAGTGTGCAGTTCCTGCCCGAAGCTGGGTTGACGACAACGGTGTGCGTCACGTCCTGACGACTACCGGACCTCAGACCGAAGCTCAGACCGACGAGTCATGCGTCGTAGCCGGCCGAAGTCCGCCCTTCCAAAAGATCACTGTACGTCGGCGTCGGTGGCTGTCTGAACAGCTGGCTCCCCATCCAATCCTGCGTCGAGGCGCTGCCCAGGGGAACCGTTGAGGATGGAGGGTCGTCGGCATCGTCGTCGCTCGGAGGTAACGAAATCTCGTGGGACGGCAGGTGGCTGTACAGCGTCGGGTCGTACGGTCGCCTGACACCTTCCACACCGATGCAACGCAGACGTGAAGCTCCCCCCACCACTGCCAACGCCGTGGTCTTCTTCTAAAGGTTGTCCATCTTCCTCGCCTTCTTCGACGTTCGTGGCGTCACTTTCCGTCCACGAACGCGGCCGAGGGAGCTGATGTGGAAGACGACAACGACAAGCAGCAGCAAAGCGACGAGGAGCAGCAAAGGCAGCCTGCGGTAGAGATCAGCCATAGACGACAGGACAGCGGATACGGAACACACACTTCCGTTGTCGCATTCGAGGCGAGTGGCGACACAGTACTGGAGGAAGAAGCCAACGAAGCAAATTTATGGAACGGGTGACCGGGGGTGGACGGCTACAAAATTCGTAAATTCGACCGTTGGGGAGCCCGCCCGAACGACAAAACCCCTCCAGCAGCCGGCCAAAGACGCCCGATGCTCGTCATGGCCCCGTCAACGGGCCTCCCCAAGAACCAACATGGTTGTCCCACGAATCGCCGGTAACGATAAACTGAGGAGGCCGTTCCAGGACGTTGTTGACGTCGTTTTACTTGACGATGACGGCCCGCAATGTCCGTCTTCCGGCCGGTGGACCACGAATGGACCACCTTCGCCCTTCAATTTTCCTTCTAGATTCGACGTCGTCAACTCGTGAATCATGGATCTTCGGGCTCCAAAGGACCTCGCGAGGTCCTTTGGACTCGAGGACGATTTGCCTGGGAAATCCTCGGAGCCCAATGATTTGTCCTCGGAGTGTTTTCACTTTTTTTTTTCGAAAATCGACTTTGAGGACAGGTGGAACGACGACGAAATCCTTGGACTCGCATCCCCGAGGAGTGTCTAACGATGCCCTGAGTCCCTCAAGCTAGGCGTCTCTCCCATACTAAAAAAGAAAGAAAAAATGGTACTTGCGTACAACACGTTGTACGCGAGTACGAAATCCCCGTTGTACTTGTTCGCACTCTTTGTTTGCAGGATTACGAGGCAAAAAAAAAAAAAAAAAAAAAAAAAAAAAAAAAACATGAGGCAGCAACCCCTGAAGTCTAGCATGCAAACGTCAGGCTACTTGGTAGTTCGGATATAGTTGGGCTACTTGGCATGCTTAAATGTATGAAATCTGCAAATAACAAAAGAGGAAGACAAATAATCTGGAACTTAATTACAGCTGAACTCAAGAAGAGATTGGGGTACAACCCAACGCAGAGGATTGTAATTAAAATTCCCTTCTACCCCACTATTGATTACTCTTTCATAGGCTAACATAGAAGCAGATCCCAGTTCTTCAAATCCTCTTGAGCAGGTTATAGATGCCTTGCTGGTAATTGATCAAAACTCAACCGCTCCGCTGGCACAGAACCAGAGCTTGTCCAAACCAGGTGCCCATAATAATTGGCCATTGCAGAGCTATTTCATTAAGCATTCCGAGATCCCACCCATGAGAGGAAAGGGAAAAGGAGCGAGGGTGGTGGAAGTTATTTCTCCGATTACAGGGGATAAGAAATTTCTCCAAATAAATGAAGAATCGGAGGGGGTAAACAAAACAAACCCAAAATCGTCCCTGATTGAGTGGGAAGCAGACAATCAAGCCCAAGGGTCAGAAGAGCAAGACAAAGAAACACAGAACATGGTAGAAACAGGAGGTCGAGAGGATGAGATAGACCTTACTGTAGACATCCCTTCTTTGCCAACAAAAGTACAACCTATACCACTCGGCGCCAGTTCTTACTCCAATTTACCTCCCAACCCGCAAGACTCAATGAGCAAAAGACAGAAATTGAGATCGAGACTGCAAGGGGACACAACGTCGCTTCTCCTCCCTAAATCGGGGTCCATCATACTACCCGTTAGATTTTAAGAAGGGCGTTGGGAGGCAGGACTTTCGGAAGCCAAAGACTCCCAGTATGGAGAAATCACTATCCATGGTATAGATCCATCTCTCATCCCCCTTCCAGACCCTCGAGAAAATGGAACCGGAACAACAAACATCAACCAACATATCTCCAAATTTATCAAAGATCATTTTCCCCCAGGAGGAGGGGCAACATTAATACTAACCTCAGAGCCAGAAAAAATCGCGGATAATGATGTGTATCTGAGATACAAGGCTTCAGATACTATCACCTTGAGATGGATGGGGGAGGACTCTCTCAAGGACCTGCAAATTCTCAAGATTAAAGCTAATCATTCCTGGTTAGAGGAAGATGTAATTACTCTCTTGATCTGACTTCTGAAGAAAGCTTCCCTTCGGAAAGGTGGGATCCTAGATACAGCGCCCTTGAACGACCTGTAAATGGTTGGAAAAATGGATGAAATGGACCTAATAGATGTGTTTTATAACAAAGACAAAAAATGGAAACTACTTAAAAGGAATGCAAATTTGGACTTAAGGACCCTTAACGTTAACAGCCTCGATTCAGCCAAGACGAATAAAAGGCAAACCATAATATAACTCATCAAAGGAGTGGGGGGTAGGAAATGGCCGGATGTAATTTGCATAAGGAAACACATCCACTGGACACACCTTTACATAACTACAACCAGTGTTGTCACGCGGGGATCCCCGGAGCCCAAGCCGGGTTGGGGGTTTCACCCCCGCA